TATATATATATATATTTATATATTATAAACCATGTTTTAAGTTACCGCGCCACCGCCCGCAATAATATGCTCCCGACATGTGGGTTGTTGCGGGATATAGTTTTGTTATGACTGCAGTGCACTCTCTCGGTTGTGTGGCGACTGCTGCCTGCTGTGTTGTTTTTATTTTCTTCTCGTTTTCCTGATGTTGAAAACCTCACCGACACATCCTTCACCACAGCGGTTCCAACTTTGACACGATACTTCAGTATATCCTAAGCGATAGAGACACAAACACCCTACACACGAAACTCAGATGGACATCAACGCTAAATAATCGGTGAAGATGAAGCAATAAAAAAAAAGAGCCCATCGCTGTATGCCCTCCGAAAAAAAAAACTATCGCCCCCACATATCGCCAAGAGTGGCCTGCACCTCACCCCCCTCCTTCGCTCTTCGGTTGACTTGAGTTTCGTGAGTGAACGAATGCACAGTCCTCGAAAGAAGGTACAGCAGCATCAGCAGTGGCAGACCGCTCTCTGTGCAGTTCTACAGGTGTGCTGCATGATTTTCTGGGGGGCCCCGCAGTATATAAAGTACACCCCCCCTCATATTGTATATCTGCGGGGCACCATGGTTCGGAATTTTTTTTCGTCTTTATCGCGGGGAGTTGACTTAAGATGAGCGTCTTTAAAGCGGGGCCGACTGTACCGGTATGTGTCCAAGCTGCTGTTGTCGATTCATGTGGTTGAGAGAGCGCTTCGCGCCAAATTGTCATGATACGTGTATCCTGCAGAGCCATTGCTGCAGGTCTATTACTGCTGCAGTGCTAGCCCACCGACAGTGCGAAAAACGACAGAAGAACAACTCACAAGCCAGGAGCTTCTGCTGCTGCTGCTGCTGCTGCCTGCTGCTCGCAGCGGCCGGCCCAGCTGCTACAGCAGTACACACACACCTTGTGGGATGTTGACGGAGAAAGGGTTCTGGCTCTAAGGACGGGAGATCCCACAAAGGCCTGGGCCTGCTCGATCAGGCCAGCCAGGCCCACAACACCTGCTAGCACTCCGCAGCGAGACATGGTACGGCGTTGGGTGTCGCACATAGGTGGAGATGGCATCGTACATCATGGGAGACCCGAGAGCGGGGGCTCCGCGAACTCTCAGAACCCGTTGAAATGGGGGGGTGCTGCAACTGAAACCGCTGCTATTTATTTCGTTCATATCAAATATGTGATCTGTTTGTCGACCATCGACGGCACCCGACGAGCCGACGAGCGACGAGCCCCGTGGCAACGATTCCGGTCACCTCGTTACATTTTTTTTCCATCGATGAGTAGAGAACTACCACTGAGTCAAGATCAAAAAACAGTTGTTGATCTCGTTCCTCTCCTACCGGTAGCATCGTACACATGGGCCGAGAACACAGCAGTCGACAGAGGATAAATCTACAACAGCAGACGATCTCTGCGCACGCAAGTACCTCTACGCCTCGGCAACTCATGTGTCCCCGCTAACAGCGCGAAAATTTGTGCATTCACTTGAGATTGAAACTTTTAAAGAGAAAACCAAGGTGATTCATCGATGACGTCCAGAGAGCACCTCGCAGCGAACGATGAATCATCGGCGTCGACGGCAGCAGACACGACTACACCAGTGAGGAGGAATTCGAGGTTTCCTTTCAGCACCTACCCGGGAAGGTTCTCGGGCACAACCCGAATGTTTCGGGACCCGACCGAGCCAGGCTCCGGCACCAGGAGGTTCTCTTCGGTGGTCTATAGCAGCAGGCTCGCCGGAGCAACGCGAACGTTCCGAGACCCGATCGTCTCGCACGGTTTGGAGACGGCAGGCACACCGGGCGGCCGCTCTTCCACGGGTAGGCGCGGAGGTTCCCGCTCCGATATGGACAGAATGACATCGAAGGGGGCTTCAGATTCTTCACCTACAACATCCCCTGGAGGGAACCAAGCTTCCACCGCTTACGGCGGCAGCCGGCGCGCGAGTCTCTTCGAATGGCTGGTGCCAAAGAAAGGCACAGGAGGAGCGGAGTTTTCGGAGTACGTGTCGGCGGTCGAGAGCGGTAGTGACGAACAACAGGACGCCGTCCACGATGAGGAGCAGGATCTCGGGCGTGGTTTTAGCGACTATGAGTCCTCTATGAACATGAACTCGTTGAGGAGAGAATCGGCAGTGGTGGAAGTAGCTGAAGAGGGAGCGACAGCAACCATCCCATCGATCGACAACATCAGCAGTGACCCCCCCCTCACCGCAGAAGTCCTTGAGCAGCATACACGAACGCACAGCGGGGGGAAGAACAACAGAAGCGAAAGCAGGTCCAGTGCCACACTCAATGGAAATGATACGAGGGATATATTAACAGCCTCGGCGGGGCGCAGCCTACCCCGACCCAGAGGCACGAGCATGAGCAGTCGCACGGGGGGCGATGATGAAGCGGGGGACGCGGTTCTCCCAGAGTTTCACCAGTCTCATGACGAAACCCAAGAAGAGATTACCATCGATGAACCCACCACACCCGCCGCCGCGGACATCGAGGACATCTACGCTGATGACGTCACGCACGGAGAGTCGCGCCGGGTCACGTTCTTGTCCAGAACGATGGGGCTGACGGTGGACATCAGCGACCCGATGCAGCCACAGCCCCCCGACGAAATTGACCGGGAACATCGGCAACAACACAAGAAACACAATGAGTACGACCAGTGGCCAGCGTCACCCTGCAGTGGAGTGATCCTGGATACGTCCCCTCGATACGGCACCTTGCAGGCATTTCGCAAGGAAATGGCTTCCCGTGGCATCAACGCGCAGGTGAGGGGGACCTGGTCAATGTCAATTGCTATCCGGTAGCTACGAAGAATATCCTAAGATTCCTAGTTACCGTATCGAGTCCACGCGTTCAAAACCACCTTTTGCAAGTTGCAGGTGCCATCGTGCACTCGCGTTCACTCAGCCGCTTGGGAGACTTCGCCAGCGATTTGCAGCTGTGCAAGTTGATGGTATGTGCATGTAGACCAGAACGTTTTAGAACACACACGCGTTCTCCTTGTACACATATATTATGATCGAGTACAGCCTTGTCTACGCCGTTCCGTCTCCCATACGTACCCCGTCGAGTGTATACCGGGTGACAAAAGGTTGACCTTTTGAGTTGCTCACTGAGCATGCCTCATTTACGAGGTATGCAGACAGTAGACATAAGATTTGTCGGCAGCTCAAACCAAGAACGGTGAAACTTTTCCTACTCTACGGTAGTCACGGACAAGAAGGCGTAGTTTCAACTACGGCAGACGCGAAACCGCCGAACTTACGGCGTGCACACCGCTGCGAGATCTCGAGCGGGACGAGCAAATGACGCCCCAACCCATTCGCCACAACAAAGAAATCGAACAGTCCCCCGGTGTGCCTAGTGCGTAACACGCCGGCATTGTTGCCCCCTTGGTAGATGTTTCACACAGGATGGAAGGGTAGCTTCCTACCGCCCCGTGATATTCGTCTCTTTATGACGGATTCAAGAAAAGCATCAGTGCTGTATTGGAGGTACAAGACGGGACCGTTTGGTCGAAGGACCGCCGCAGGGGGCAACCAAGGCCTCGGCGCAGAGGATCGCAGAGTGAGTGTGCCTGCGTTGTGCTGGAGCATACATTTCTCTGAAACCTGAAGGCATCGGTCCATCGACGAGAAACAGAGAGGCATGGACGGCCCGTGCGTTGCAAGCTTGTAGGACACCGCCCGACAGCGTAGTGAGAGGTGATACGGTCGGTGCATGCATGTCTGGTAGTATCAGTCTGATCATATCCGAATCAAGGTTGTGGAACCCTGTGGTACTCTGGGAAGCGCCGGATGGCTGATATTCACAAGCATTCAACCATTTCGCCGCCAGCGCACCATGGCGCAAAGAAACTCGTATGGAGCTCGAGCTGCAGCGCTTGTCCCCGTTTACGTCGGCACCAACGACAACGTCTCACCCCCGGCATTTCCACACTTGCTCCTGTCTCCACCTTGATTGATTAACACTATTTTCTCCACCCAGGTGATCCCCCTGAGCTCGTTAGCCAATATAGGCCCTGCGGAGCTCTACCGACACGGTGCCCCCAGCAGTAGGCGTAACCTCTTGTCGTGGCTCTCAATCCCGTCATCGCTCAGACGAGCAAACGGGGACTCACCCGTCGACTACAGGAAGATTCAGAAGGACAAGGACTTGGACGGTGTCGACAACGGCAAGGCCGGGTTGGTCGAGGCCGTTCCCGTGCTAGCCCTGAGCTACTGGGTGGAGGGGAAACCGAGGTGAAAAGACAACGAATGAGTGTTGCTTGCGGGCACAGGACCTATACTCAACAGCCTTGTATGCAAGGGTCACTCCCCTTAATCAAAGGATGCGGGTATCGTGAAGAATCTTTTGTCTACGGTTTGTTCCCCATCAACCTTCGTGAGTAGGGCAGAAACACAGCACGGCTGGGCCGCGAGGCTCGTCTTATCATCAGCAGACGTTACAGAGTAAACCCATATAGCTGACCGTGTGAGTACGCGTGTGGTGGCCTCAACGAAAACGCCCATTTTCCTCTCGGCGCCGTAGGTGGGTCGGAGACCACCCGAAGCGCCTTCTCGTGATGCCGGACAGCCTGGACTCCTTCCAGCGCCTCTCGCACGGTCTACGCCTGTGCTGTCTTCACTTCCACAACTACTCCTGCCCTCAAGATCTCGAAGATATCCGATGATGATCTCTTGACCTTCGCTGGCCCACCAGCAGCGCGTGCGCTAAAGCACCGACAACGGGTGAACTTTAGTGTAGCACCTTGTCGGCTCGTTTCGTGTGCGGTCACATCGGGCTCTTGCTTCCAATTTGGACATCACACAATTCAAGAAGGAGGAAGGGCACGAGAAGATGCCTACAATATAGCTTCGTCGGAGGAGGGTTAGCTCTATGAGGGTTCGTTGTTTCCAGCAGGCAATCTCCGGCGGAAATTGAATGCAAGCCGTGCTACCAGAGTAAATATCACTAAGACTTCACAGAATCAAGTGCTTTCGAGTCGAAAGTTCACCGCCAGGATTCACGGAGTCCAGGTGTGGTTCGCGCCCTGCGGAACCGGGACGTTACACGTGCTACAGGAAAGGAGATAATGGCGCAAGTTTGGAGCTTGAATGCCGGGCATGGCTTTTGTCGAACGCGGCCAGCTCGAAGTAGTTGAACCCACACATTACATGATTTTCCACAGCCACCCCCACTCGAACACAAGTTCTTGACCTCGCCTCGCCTCTCCCTCCAAGGTGCGTGTGGGAGACATCAACCCGATGATGCCCAATAAGTCTCAATAGAACGGGCGAATTTTCCTCTGCTTGGGGTGCCACACAACAGCCTGAAGAGACCTGCGACAGCTCGAATATACTTCGAATTATCAAATATTTCTTCGATAAAAAACAGTAATACAGCAGCCAGGACTACTCCAGGGTGGCGCACACCAACAAAAGGCAAGGAACACAGACTAACGCCGAGACGACATGAGCGATCGTCCGTCACAGGATTATTTTGGTCACGAAGAATCAAGGAATGTTTCTGCCTTGCGCTTGGGAGCATGAGAAGAGGCCACAACGCTACTTTTCATTCAACAACAGCAGTTGCGCTCTCTTCGACGCGCGAGGCCGACACCTTTCCCCGCCGTGATACCACCTTTTCCACGACAAGATAACAAGATAATTTGAGGCATATTATACCGACGACACTGCTCGTAGATATCCCTACCCTCTACGATGATCTTCAGCCCAACACTCATTACGCCAACACACGCTACCCCTTCCCTCCCCCCCCGCCCCCGCCGCGCTATGCTTCGGGCGACCCCTTCGCCTTGACCGTCTCCACCACGGCGCGGAAGCTGTACGGCTCCGTGACCGCCATCTCGGCCAGCACCTACACCACGAGAGCGTCATGCAGTACGCAAGAGAGGCGAGGGAAGGAACGAAACACGAAGGGGGCGCATGGGTGGGTAAAGAGCCGGGCAGGGCAGGGCGGCGTCGAGCCAAATCCGGAGGGCGACATGATCTTCGCTTGTGGAAGTACCTCATGCACACAGAGTTCGGCGATGTCGGCAAGACAACCCCAAAGAGGCCACTCCCTTGTTTACGAACGGACGGCAAAAAACAAAAACAAAAGCAAGAGTGCCTCCGCCGAAACTCCCGTCTCCGGCCGTAGTCGTACAGGGATCATGTCAATCGCTGGCTGGTGACGACGTGGCTCAACAGAAACGGCTTGTATTCCCGCCCGACACCATTCCACAAAGTAACTACAAAAAAAAGCACGATGGTGTCTCCAGCTGGGCAAAGTCACGCCCAGTATTTTGGGCTCGAGTTTGTCAGCGGAGACGGAGGCCGCGTCTACGCTAAAACCAGTGTGCCTCGATCGACGCGACAGCATCAGGTTATGATAGAGGTGATGGATAAATGTTTGCAATCGCGGATTAGTTCCCACGTACGTCGACCTGCGGCGGTACTGCTGCCGTCTCTCCTGCTCAAAAACACCGCAGCACCCAACTTGTTCGGGTTTGGGGTGAGTACGAAATTTCCCACTCATCAAACCCGGAGTGTTGTTATTGTTATCATCGTCACATGAAAAAAACATTCCAGCTCTCTCTGTGCAGTACCTTGCATCGTTATCGGTCCATCTGACGAGGATAGCGAACGAAATGACATGTAGCAGCACAAAACAAACGCAGCAAGCGACCAGTCCCACACACGCGAGCCATGCACCTTTCTGTTCAACTCCACGTCCGCTTTCCTGGCCTTGTTGACGAACACCGAGTACGGCATGCCGTGCTGGCGCACGCCGGCGTTGATGCGCTCGATCCACAGTCTGCGGAATTCTCTCTTCTTGTTCTGGAGACACGCAGTCCCCAGATGGGGCGAGAGGGGGAGGATGAGAGACGTACAAATTAGAAATGTGCGTTTCGCCTTGGCCAGGCTATGTGGCAACAGCATAGCTCGCATGGCAAAGGGACATCCATATCCGGCCATGTACAAACTTCACCCACAACGACCCATGTCAAATGCAACACACCCAAAATTAGCCAACCTCCGGTGGCAGGTGACAGTCACCTCTCTCCGGACCCTACCCTCACCCAGAGCTGAGGGCTCCATACACGGGCACAAACACACAAAAGACATTCTGTTTTCTTGACGCAACACAACAAATTCAATCTTCATCTATCCAGAGATAAGAAACAAACATGGGTGATTCAGCAGGCCCTTCCTTGCCTTTCTGTCGCGGTAGGCCTGCTGGAGGGCCTTCTCCACCCTCTGGATGGCGATCTTGAAAACGCTCTTGCTCCTTCCACGATACCTACGCCAGGTGCAAGTTGGGCAGGGGTAGAAGATGGAGGGGTTGGGGGTGGGATTGACGATGCATAGGTTTAGGTTGGTGCTGTGCGCGGTGAATGTATTGCCGGGTTGAGGGATGTTGGGGCGGGGTGGAGGCACGTGCGAAATACGCTGTGGTTGACGGTGGGGTTACTACAGATTGGTAGGTATTTCAGAGTGTGGTTCAATTATTTTGTCTTGGGTGGCAAGTGTGTAGACCACGCAAAGACTTTCATGCGCGGGAAGAGAACGCACAACACTGTTTTGGATGGCTTGGCGGTGTTCCCCTGGTGTGGTGTGGCGACAAACGTTCTCCCCCCTTCCCCAGACGCGGCGGCGACACAACATGGTCTAGTCCAACTACAGACCACATGTAATTACGCACAGATAGCTGTGAACAAGGAGCGATGTGGAGGTATGAAAGGCGAAATACGCATCAGATTGCAAGCCAACAAACCTACAGCCAATAGCAGTAGCAGTCATATTTACTGCGAAGCGTGAATACAGCGTACATTGCAGGCAAGGTATCTCCAGTATACCTTCGCGTACGAGGCATGCAATGCAGTGCGGTGACAGATGTAGACTACCTGCTCGTGTGTGCTGTCGCTTTCCGTCATGTGGGTGATGAGGACTCTCACACCAGCACGCCTACATATTTCGGGCAATACGGAGAACCACTCACCCTTTCGCCAACTTTAGGATTTTCTTATGCCTGTGGTTGTTCGCTGCCATGCCACGGCACTGCTGCTGCTGCTGACCGAGCGCATCGCACGGCCCTTGTGGAGAGCCGCTGCTGCCGCCTACAGCAGCTCCCAGCCCCCCTCCACGATGCCTCGCCACCGATGAGCATCCTGGTCTCACAAGAGACGACCACAGTGTTTGCGGCCTCACCCTGCCTAGCACGGTTGACCACGACATTGTTGCCAGTGCTACTGGATGCTACAGATACTGCGCGACAGACCAAGCAGAGCAGAGAGTGCGGTGCTGCGCGGCTCAACCACCGACAGAGGCACAGTAGATGCGAATGCATCCCCCGCAGGACAACCGCATACGCGGTGCCCCTCCGTGGCCTGTGGGCCTGGGACATGACCACACACCACTTCGGATCGCGCAGGGCACCCACAGCAGTAGCACCACAGCGTTTCTTTCTCCTCACATCGTCATACCCAGTGCATCCACGCACCGGCTAGAGCGTCAACGTTGCTGTGGTATAGCTCATTTGGTGCGATAGATAAAGAAGGCAGCAGCTTTCACGGTGCGGTGAAAAACGCGTCGAGACGGGGAGAGTGCTGCGATGGTCAACCCGGCCATGGATCAGCCAAACCAGCCGCCGCTGCCATTTCCGGCCCCCGGAGGTGGTGGCCACACCAACGGCCACCACGCATCCGGCCCATCATCTTCCGCGATCACGAACGGAGATGCCGGGCTAAGGATGGTACGTGTTTCAGCGCGCGTGTGTGTGGAGTATTTGACCCAAGTCATTGTCTGCGGTATGTAGCAGTGAAGACGCTGTTTTGTTCTGGGTACGGTATGCGCAGTGGATGCAGATTGGGGCTGCTGACATCTGCACAAAGTCGCTCCAGCGTGCGTTGGAAGAAGCAGGTTGTCGCCCTCCGTGTCCTTGCTCGGCACGCCGAATGCTATGTCGGCGCGGTGACATTTAGTCAGGTACAATTTTGGAAGGAACTACGCATAGAGTCTGGAATGACGGAAGGACCTTCCTCTCGTGTACCCTACACATATGTATGCCCGTCGCCCATGGGTCGACGCTCCCCCTCCTCGCTGTTGCATAGTTGACAAGTACCTCCACCAGAGGGAAATCGTGCAAGCCAAGAAGGGCGGCGTGCGAAAGAGTTCTTTGCCTGTCTGTCTGATTCAAAGTGCATCGTTGGTCACGATGACAAACAAACAAGGACAAGTATTCGACCACGCGAAAGTTTGAATTGTGTGATCCTACAGCAGTGATTGGATTAATTCCCTCCGCCGTGAACAACCTCACACAACGGTATAGGGCACATGCGATGCCCCTAGCGGGTGCGTTTGTTGAACCGAGAGAGATGTACGCTCCTTTTTGTACAGACGTGCGAGTACATAAGTTTTGTCGTTACTGATCTTTTTGCCTACGCCAATGACCAGGCATGGGAGTGCGGTCAGACAGTAGTGTATTCTTTGTTTTTCTGATCTAACGCCTTTGCCTGTGTTTCGCCTTCGACGCAACACCGCAGATGTCTATGGTACAGCTTCAGGGAACCTTCGCTCAGCAATATTATTCACGAGTCCGTGTTCGAGTTTCCCTCCATAGAACCCTCAACGGGGACGATCTGCTGCAGATCGTTGGGCGAACGATCTGTAGCAGATCTTTCGACGGTCTGCAGATCCAACGATCCGTAGAGCGTCCCCTCCCCGCCCTGCCCCATATCGTCATTCAATTCCTACCCTCCTCTCCCTTCACCCTTCCCAGCCTTACTCGAGGATTGCGCCTCGCACACGCTGCGAACGCTGATTTGAACGCTGTGTGTGTTATCAAACTCGTAGCGTGTGTTGTCTCCCGCGTCTCCGATGCAATGGCGCGTACAGCAGGGCGTGAACCAGACGGTAGCGACTGTGGCGGGAGATCTGGAGGGGCTTGTCCATGCGTGGGATAAGACGGTGAGTCTCGGCGGCGGCCGCCACTCCTTCCTTCGGTTTTTACTCCGTCTTCGTCGTTGTCGTCGTCGTCCCCATCGCTGTTGTCGTCGCTCAAGACAACCAACCGTGTAGTGTCGTTTTATTAAATCATGACGCAAATGTTTACGGTAGATGTACATATTGCGCCCCCCCAAGGTCTGGAGCGATACTTGTTGTTCGGTGCAGAGACGTCACCTCCCCCCTCTCTTCTTCTCCCGGTGATAGCGTTTGCGAGGATGCGTGTTGTGCCTGCCTCGTTCCTACGTGGTCTCTAGAAAAAATGTGTGATGTGTTGCGATACATTCCATAGGCAGTGTCCAAGTCGCGTTCGTCTCTCATGTCGGAAGAACAAGAACGCGTCCCCCCCCCCCCCCTTTTNGCCCCCCCCCCCCTGTTTCGACTGAAAGCCCAACCGCCGCATCCGTTCACAACCCCGTTGGGTGCGTGCTTGTACGTTTGTGTTCGCGCCAAACTAAAGCGAGGGGCCATGGACTTCACAGTGGACGAGAGCCTCCGAACAGTGGCGTACAGCGTCGCGGAGAACAGGGTGCACACAGACCTCAGGAATAGGGGCATCGAGATCGTTGATGACAGCCGTGCGAAGGAGAGCAAGTCCTGGCGGGTAAGTGCCGATTGATGTGGTCGCCCTTGCTTCTGTTGTATATCCCTCCAGAGTGGTGGCGTTTTTTGCGGCACTGTTCCTTCGCCGCCCTTGAACGATCACGAGTCGCCAGCGTCAGTCTCCATCCACGCGTTCGTGACATTCTGTTCCCCCCCCCCTCCCCCCACCACAGCATAGCGACGGAAGCAGGACGAGGTCGACGTCGTCTCCACGACGACCGCGGAAACCCCGATCACTACCGCCGTCATCGCTGTCGCGGTCACGATCGCCGTTGCCATCGCCGTCTCCCTCGGCAGCACGAGGAGGAGGAGGTTCAGGTTTCTCCGGTGGGGAGATCGCGAGGCACGAGGAAGAGGATGAAGACGGTCTACAAGTGACAGGGTTCGATCTGCGCTCGGCTCTCAAGTGTGAGAGCATCTCGGAGACCAGGGGGTATCTGCGCGTTTTGTACGACCTGGTGAGTCTCTGCGTCAGTACATTATTGGAACGTACGTGTAGCGCTCTAAACCGAACCACCAAATACAAATACCGTGTTTTCCGAGAGGAGATTGTGTGCATGATCTTTCTGGTTCTTGTCTTCCTTGCAATGTTGGTGTGCTGCCGAGCTCACTGCTTTCTCGGGGGACTGTGCTGATGTTTGTTGCAACTGTATCGTGGGGGAATGCTCACTGTCCTGTTGGCGTGCTTTAAAGGAGTACGGTGTCACAAGTGCCCTCGTTTTTGTTTCGTTTCTGTCGCTACGCCCTTGTCTGGTATGCCCGTGAACTCAGGCGGCGCAGCAGGAGCTGATGCTGGACGAGATGGCCAGGGAGGGGATGTACGCTATCGAACTCAACGAAAAACTATCCTTGAAACTCGCCGACAAGGTGCGATTTTTTTCTTCTTTTCTTGGCATCATATTTTGCCGCGCGGGCGTTGCGGTGCGCGCTGTGACGTGTGGCTTGGCAGTTCGGTCTCGAAAGGCGAACGGGGTTTCAACGAAAGGCGTTCCAGCCAACCCATGACTCCTGGCAAGCGGACAAACAAGCGACCCCCTCTTCCCGCCACCCCTCCCGCCCTCTCCCCCCCCACCCACATCAGAGAAAGGAGATAGCGGTGCTTAAGAAGGCGTATTTCTTGGCGATTGAAACCGACCCCGCCGCTACTTGCGACACGAGTGACGATAACAACAACGGCACCGCCGAGATCACGGCGGCCACGACCGAGTTTCCCGGCGCCGGCGCCGCTGAGTCCTTGCCCGGGGCCGAGCCCACCCTAGAAGCGGTCTCGTCGGGGATGACTCCGCCGCCGCCGCCCCGCCCGCCGCTCTCGGACTCCACGACTGCGGCGAGGCGGGAGCACTCTCGGGCGTTTTCGGGGAGAGGTATCGCCGCTCCGGGTAACGGTGGTGCCATTAGCCCCCGCGGCGGGGTGGAGGCGGCTTCGAATGGCGGTAGCCCCGGCGCGGGCGGCGGCCGCACCCGGTCGGGAAGCGGGGCGAGCGTCGGCAGCGGCAGCGGCAACCGCAGCGTTCGCGCGGAGCTGTTCCCGGCACCGGGGGCGGCGAGAGAGGGGAAGAGCAAGAAGACGACACCGGAGGTTTCGCCGCGGTGGGGGAACGCCAACAACAGCCACGCAATGCCGCCGCCGCCGCCGCCCACTGCGTTCTTCCCTACCGGGCCGCCAGTGATGGGAGCGCGAGTGTCGGAGCTTGCTGCGCCGCCGACAATGGAGGCGGCGGCGGGTGTAGGAGACGTGAGCAGCGGTGGTGCGTTTGGAGGACCGGGCCAAGGGGGTGGGGTCGTCGAAGACCCCCTCAAGGTAGACGGTACCAGCAAGTAGAGGCGTTTATTTGTTGCAGGCTAGCGCAGCTGTCGATTCTACCTCTCGTAGTGTTCCCCATACGCGTGTTTGACTGTTTCCCGCCCAACTCTTTTAGTTGCTAGATATCTTTGTGGTTTTCTCTTTCGATTTATCTTGTAGCGCAGGCCTCGACCTCGTCCATCCGCACACTAACGCGCGCCCTCCTTTCCTCTTCCCCGAACGCAGGCGATGATGATGCCGCCGGCACCGCCCCAGATGAAGCAGAGCCCGGAGACGGGTCGCCAGGATGATGCCGCCGAGGACAGCGGCGACTCCAAGAACGGAATCAACGCCCCGCCCGCGCTTGCTCCCCCGCCCGTCCTGCCGCACCCTGGGTTGGCAGTTTCCTACCGAGCCGTGCGGCAGGCTCCCGTCGGTGGTGTCGCGCCACCGCCGACGGCGTTCGTCCCTTTCGGCGGCGGCGGCGGCGGCGTCAGCGCATTTGGTGGAGGAGGTGCTGCGATGGGGGCGTTTGGCCGCGGGGGTGCCATGACCGCGCCGTTCGGCGGCGGAGGAAACAGCGGTAGCAGCAGCGTCGATGGCAAGGGGAGCGAGGGTACGGACGCCGCCGCGGCGACGGCGGAGGGGGGCGGAGGTGACTGCGGCACGACGACGGCGTCGGGCGGCGGCAACAGCAGCACCACCCTCGGCAGCAGCGTCGGCTCGTTTACCGGAAGCTTTGGCAGCGGCCGCGGCGGTGGCGGGGGTGTTGACGCGGGCGTCGCACCGGCAGAGGCTGCGGCTCGGCAGCCGCCGCCGCAGATGCTGCCGGAGGTCTCCGGCGGCGGGAGTGACGGCAGCGGAGCAGGGGTAGGCGGAGAGGCAGACGCTCCCGGCGACGGTCCGGCCGCCGCCGCCGAGGGCGAGGGGGCGGCGATGATGCAGGGCAACGGCTTCCCCGATGGCGGAGCGGACGCGCCGGGAGTCGGAGATGAGAGCAACGGGGGCGGTGGGCAATGCTTTGGTGGGGCGTCGTGGGCGAGGGAGGAGGAGACGAACGAGTTCTTCGCCGGCGTTTGAGAACCGCCAGCCGGTACACTCTGTTCATGAGTCATGTCCCCTTGAGTACGCGAGCGCAGCGTTCCTTGAGACGTTGGAAGGATTAGATGCAAATCTTGACAGGTACGCGCTTCTTTCCTTGATAGACGTGTTGGCGCTGGGCTCGAGTCTATTGTCCCGAGGGCGCCGCGTTGCTACAGCAGTAGTAGCTGTAATGTACGAAGGATTGGATGCAAATTTTGAAGGATGCGCGCTTCGTCCCCCGATGGATGTGTTCGTGGTGGGCGGAAGGTCTATCGCCTCGAAGGCGCTAATGTCGCTTCGCTTGCATCGAACGTAGATTGGACGATGCGGGGCTGTTGCCCTGCATCACGGTACGGCTGTCGTTTCTCACTTGTGAGGCTGTCTGTGCCGATAGTATGGGTTGTTGCCAATGACAAACCGCTCCTTTTCCGGCGGAATAGATGCCGGTATGTGTCGGTGCCAAGACAGACCGCTTTTTTGCGGCAGAATAAGCGCGACGTGTTTGCCTTTTCGGAATTTCCGCCATGTGCCCCGGCGTTGCTCCGTGACCCTCGAAAGCTGTTTCTTCGTGTCGACATGTGCTGGAAGATCTCACGCTTGCATCGAAAGCATGCTCATGTTGCTGTATGGTACACCGGTTCCGCTTTGAGTGGCAGAGGCTCGCCATGTTGTTCAGCCTCCTGTAGCATAATTGTTCACGTTCATATTCTACGGACATGTTTGCTAGGCAGGCCCTTGATTGGTAGTGGGTGGGATATTGCTGCGCGGGACCCGGTGGGCGGCAACTGTGCTAGTGCTGTGCGTGCCTATCTCTCTCTCTCTGCGCCCCTCGTCGCGGTGTAGTGTTTTGGATCTGGGCAAACGCAGGGGCTGTGCAACATTTCTGAATTTCGTCACATGTGTGTAGTCTGTGTCGCTCTCCGTTATCGGGCCAGAGTTCTTTTCACAGAGAGAGGGAAATGATACCATTATTTATGAGAGTAAAAAACAAGTGCACCCGTGTAGACGTTTCCATCAATTAGTGTTCCCTTACGGACGAGTACAATGCACGTGGAGTTTCGTGGTCTAGAGGTTGACGTGTGTGGCTTTTTGATCCGCAACATCAAGGGCGCTTGCATGCCGGGTTCTTGACAATGCCGCCCTGATTTGGAGTCAGAAGTTGCGCTGTTTGTGGTTCCTCGGGCGTTAGCATGCACGTGTTTGCTTTGGCTCGTTCGAAACCCCGTTTCACCCTCAAAATTATCTTACCCCGACCTGCCTGTTTGAGGCGTGCGCTGCAAAGAACAACAGCCGCAGCCTTTGCCTTGCAAAGAAACAACTGGCCCGACCTGGCTCATCACGACTCCGCGCTGTCACTCTCCACCTATGGCACGGTAATCTAACATGTTGAAATCAATGTCAAACAGCGAAGACCACCCACCACCCGGGGCGTGAAACCATGGAGCTTGAAGTCCTTGTCTTAAACGTAATGAAGGTTCCGTGATGCCGGCCGGAACATTAACGCAACGATGACATATCTACCTCTCTCAACAACACACACATCTACAAAGAGAGACGTGGAATGTGGGACCTCTCCGGCGCGCAGACTCTTCGCGTAAAAAAAATCCAAAGGTAAGACTTGCTTGAGTTGTGTCGTGCGTGCCACAAAAAAAAGGACGTTTTCTCTGCAGGAATAGATTCCGCGGATGGTCTTCGGCGTGGGCGATGTGGTGGGGGTGTTTCGGACCCTGCCTATCTATTTTCCCAAGAGCATCGTCATGATAGCGAAGGGAGAGGCGCCAATGACCTCTATTATAGTCTAAAGCTGGCCCCAAGCACCCACCGGAGTGTGCTAGTCTAAGTGTGTATGTAGCCTACTTCTAAAAAATATATGCTACTCTTTTGGTCACCCATTGCGACCAAACAATAAACAAATACAAATAGCACATTTCTTTCTCCACGTGAGAATGGGAAGCTGGCGTCTAGATAGATTATTGCACGTTTCTCTGTATTATTAGTGTCGGAATAGTGCAGTACTGTGTTCTGCCGGCGAATTAGAGGGGATGACACAACTGAGCGAAGCATTACCTAAGTACTACAGTTGTATAACATACACTTTACTGCAGATCTACCCACATTACCTACGGCTGGCTGCGCATTGCGTCATACAGAGGGGTATCCCCGACATGATGAGTAAAGACAGACGGACAACCACCGGCTACTACAGTAGTACTCAATTTGATGTACTTGAAGAGAGTACAGACGAGAGAAAGATTCGCATTTATAGTCTATGCATACAACCGGCATCAATCGGTGCTGCGTACAAATAAGAAGAAACAAATACGTAGGCAACGAGCGCCTGTTCATTTCTCTCTCCGATGATTCTCTTATTGTTTCTTCTTTTCTGCCCGGAAAAGCAGTAAGTAATAGCGCACAGATACACACACTTAGAATGTTGTCCCATATATATATATATTCATCTGACAAAAAAAAATCGCGCAAAGTCAAGGACCCTCAGTAGTAGTAATCACGCGCCGCCCTCACTGAGTGGTGTCTTTCGGCAGCGCCCATTGGCAAATGTTTTCCACAAAAACTGAAAGATATTTGGCCGTTTACGACAGACAAATATATATATACTTCCTCTGTCTTATAAGTAAAGTCCGTTATGGGGGAATTTACATACCTCACCAGCCAAGGTGTTCCTGAAGCTCTAGTTAGGTTTGTTGGAAAGCGCTTGTTACGCACGTAACTTAAAAAAAACAAAATCCGACTCACAATTACTGAGAATTAGTGTGTCAAATACGGGACTATTTTGCGAATATTATGGGAATATTTTGAAAACATTTTGAGAATATTTTGATTTGCAGCTTTGTGCTGTGTGAGCACCCACTACCACCACAACGACGTAGCTATCATGGGGGACGACGCCCAGACACCCCCACGTCGTAAGCGGGGTGCGGAAGTATCGTTGGGTCGTCGGTACGCCATGGCGGTGGAGATAGCGTTGGCGATTCCGCCGGGCAAAGAAAGGGTACCCAAGGGCTTTCTAGGCCCCCTCGCCGAGCGGTACGGCGTTGGTAGTGATTACCCCAGAAAACATTGGGCGGAATGAAAAGCGCAGATCGATGAAACCGGAGAGCTCGACCTTTCAAACAAACGTCGGAGTGGGCGGCCATCGCTCCTCACTCCGACGAAGGCCGCGGCGTTGCGCAAGGTCAACAAGGAGAATCGGTCATTTCACGCTGAGGCAAGTGTCTTGGGCCTCGAAAATGTATTGATTTTAGTGGGTTCACTACTATGTTGGTTTTTGTATGGGAGGACGCGAAATGGATCGTTCAGTAGAGGTAACCTTGGGTTTAGGGTTCGGGATAATTCTTGTCTTTTTTTGGTATGTTTCGTTTCGTGCCCCCACCCCCACCCTCATGGAAAGGGGCAAAATACGGCCTTTTTTGGCCTGACTACTTTTTTGTAAGCCGCTAGTGCATGCAGGGTAGTGCGCAAGAAAAAAAAAGAAATATGGGTTTCAACCCGAAAAACGCTCAAGATTTCAAAAAAAGTATCGCCTAAGACATCGGACACGGCTAAATGGCCGTGTAATCATAACGGACTTTACTTATGTGACAGAGGAAGTATATGAATATGCGTACATACATTCTCGTTAGGTCTTGTTTCTGCTATTATATCAGCGCTGTTTTCTTTTTCAACGTTGTTGTCCAAACACGCGTGGCGAAGCCGTGCTTTGCAGGAGTAGTGGGAGAAGGCCCCTCTCGCAAAGAGGATGGTATTGTTGTAGTGTGGTCCATGCACAACTGATGTCTCATAATAATCCATTGCACAAGTTATTAGACTACACTTCTGTTCTTCTTCTTGTGGGTTGGGGAGGGTACATACATGATGTACCGATTCTGGTAAAAAAGTCAATCGACGGATACCCTGCGAATCGGGTTCTCCTTGATACTCTCCACCCAAAGAATTTACCCTCAACTGGGAACCTCGTGTGGCCAGGACGAGTGATTCGATGGAAGTCACAAGGTTCTTCGTAGGATCGGCTCCAACAGGTTCTGTGCGACCCCTGATTTCCGCGTCCAGAGGTGCCCAGAGGCGGAAAAATGACTTCAGATTGGAAGATGAGATGACAAAACGCACACATCTTTCAGCTATACAGTTGGCAATAAAAATGCTTGAGCCGGGACGACCGAAGGTGTTCGGTGACGGGTGGTGTCACCCGCTACATGGTCGTTCAGCCGTGATGTATTGGGAGCACCTACGCGTAGTGGATGATTGTTTAGCGGAGAAGGTCCTATTGTAGCACACAACTCATTCTGTTCTGACTTCGCTGGAGACTAGCACCATTGTTTCAATGGTAAGCTGGTTAGCGTGGTCAATCCAAAACAAATAAAGACACTCACAGACATCATAAAACGAACGGCGAACTGCTACCTATTGGCCCTCGGGTCCCCGGCCTGGGCAACTACCTCGAGCGCCAGAACGCTCTCGAGCCTATGCGGTCCCTCTCGGGGAGGTGTAGCCTGCGTTCCGGCCGCTTGCCTCCCCCCGCGCCGCCCTCTCCTCCGCCTCCGTCCACGGGACCGCCAAAACGCTACCGGACACATCCTCGCGTCCGGCTCCAAACCTTACCCTGGCGGGAGAAGACGAGAAGCAGGGATCGGTCATGTGGTTGTAAGGAGGCCTGGACGTGCCCGGTCCGGGGCCGCGTCCGGGGGTCTGGGAGCCGGCCGCTTGCCCCCGAATGACCACGCCAGCCGGGCCGCCGCGTGGCCGACCAATCCGCCGTGGCCGCCGCGCCCCCTGGCGGACTCCGGGCGGAAGGCGTGGGCGCTGGGGGTGATGCGGCCGTTTTCGCAGAAGAGGAAACGGCTGGGTGCTGGGTCGTACGGTGACCCCGTGGGCTTGCGACCGAGGGCCGGGGGGACGGCCGTCGACGTGCGGCCGGCGGCGGCCTCGGCTGCCGTTAAGTCGTAGTCTCCTACGCCGGGTCTAACTACTCGGCTGCTGTAAGTATTCGGAGAAAGAGAGCGATGCAAACTCTTGCGTAAAAATGGGCACACGTGTCCATCCACCATCTTCTGCGACAGAAAATTAGGTTGAAAATGCCTGCCCAGAAGCCCCCCGGCGACTTCGTCCCGCGATCCCACCCTACCCCCGCACCCCTTCCCCCTCCCCCTCCACCTCCCCCTCCGCCGGCCTCCCCGTCGTCGGGTCTCGGCACGGCGATCGTCATGGCGCCCGTGCGAGGGTCTAACCCGAGCGAGCTCACGAATGTTTTCGCGGCTGCCGCGTGAATCTCGTGCTGATAGGGCGAAGAAAAAGAGATTGTAAGGGGGGAGCGAGAGAGACAGAGAGAGATGAGGCACACAGAGGGGGAGCGGGAGACCATGGGTGAAATCCAGGAAGTGGAAAAGAGAAGGGAGCTGCTACTGGTGCTGCTGCTACTACTACTACACAAAACAAAGTGTCACGAAAATTTCTTCCACTTCTCCCCCGTCCCTCGCTCTCGGCTCACCGTTGGCGGCCCGCCCACGCCATAGTTGTCTCCCGGTTGTTCTCCGGGCGTGACGCTCCCCAAGGCCGCCGCCGCTGCCGCATTCTTGCACCTCTGCACGCACTTTTCCTCTGCACCTGGAGAGACGGCCACCGCTAAAAGCGTAGACCCCGTCTTGTGGAGGAACGTTTGAGGGTCCTATGCGGGGAAGAGACACGACCAATATCAAGGCAGCAGGGCGCGGGTGGTGATGGTGACCACGAGGCGGGGTGAGGGGGATGGCGCAATAATAATTGAGATGGAATGGACGTTGATGAAGTTGATGATCATCCTCACGGCACAATACATGGGGGGGGTAAGAGGTGACGCAAATAAAATCATTGAGCACACATTGGGGGGGCGACGCAAGTATTATCGAGATGGTGGGGTGTAAAGTTTAGCACACATGCGTGGTGCCCGCAATCACAGGCGGCAGCCTGTACTCTTTGAACCAGCTTTGCATCAGCAAGAAGTAAGGGTCTTCCAAGGGCAACAAGTAGGAAGCGGATTATCACCGTGGAAACAAAGAAGGGGGGAAGATGTTCGAGCCCGCCACCGGGCCACAAAAAGCCGGCGAGGCCAACAACAGCAACAACGACGACGGCAGTGGCACTAGCAGAAGCAACACCAGCAACACGGGTGCAGCTCTCTGGAATTGAACTCGTGTGACCCTTGGTTTTTACGCGTCCCCAACCACAACAACAGTCCAGTTTCGCAATGGAGCATTT